CCCAGCGCGGTCAGTAATGCATGGTGGTGGAACAATTTGTTCTTGGCCTGTGTAGAAGACGCCGCAACAACGGTTCGGCTTCGCCGACACTGGCACGATCACAACAGTGACCACCACATGACGTCCGGCGGTCGTCGGACTGCCTTCGACCTCACCAGCGTCGTGGCCATTCAAGAGGGGCGTGCCCTTCAACGAACAGTCACCGAAGATAGCCCCGACAGATCACCTCTGGTCTGGTGGAGACCCATCGCGAAGTGGAGACTTGGTGGGGCAATGAGACTGGCCGACTCAGTCTTGTGGAGCTCCTGGGTCCCAATCACAGCAAGATGTGGTACCTGCTGTTCATGCGAGTCGCAGGTGGCCGCTGCGTTGGAGATCTCATGGGAGATGGTCTCCAGGTGGCAGACGCACGGGGCATGAGCGCCGACGACTCGGAGGCCAGCGCGCGCCTAGACGAGTCCATCACGACGACGGGAGGCTCTCAACCATCGACGAATGGTTCCATGAGGATCCCATCGAGCGACATCCACCCAGCCGGCTCGGCCTGGCGGGCCTCCCTGACGACCGACCTCCAGACGGTCATGCAGGATGCATTCTTAGCGCGCACTAAAGTTCGACTCCATCCGGGAGACCGAGCCTCGACTGGCTCAGTCATAAGCCACCACCACACGTCATCAACATCGACGTGCAGCAGCGCCGCCGTTACGTGACAGTGGGCGTTGAGCCTCAGGCGACGCCCGAATCTTTCGAGGCCGACGACGATGGCAACGCGTGCGTCGAGATGCTAGCACCAGACGAGATGCGCAAGCTGATGCTCGACCACCCAGCGCCTGACGGCGAGTGTGCCCGACTTCGGGTGCACGTCGCCAGCCGCGGTGCGGACCGAGTCGCGCCCGCCGGATTCACTGAGCACGCAGCGGCCGTAGTCGCAGCGGTGCTGGAAGATATCCAAGTCTGGGTCGATCATAATTGATTCTCGCGACGACCACGTCGAGGAGCTAGGGGCATCCCAGACTGCGCGCGCGCAGGCAAGTGGAAATTCCCACGCGAGAAAGCGGATCCTTCAAAGAAGGCGCGTATCATCTGCGTCCGCCTGATTCTGCGGGGTTCAAGGACGCCGGCGCCGACCTCGTCGCAACCTACGCTGCGCCTCCTTACGTTTTTCACGCGGGGTGATTCTCTCGGACGCGGCCTGCCGAGGATGGGCGATCGACGCTTGGTGCGTCAGGAAGGCTCCCTGAAAGGAGTCAGCGACAAACAGCTAGCAGAGGCCACGGGCGAAGATGAGCGCAAGGTGCACTTTGAGCTTTCCCCTGATGCCGCGTCCGTTCTCAGCCGAATCCTGCAGGGACTACAAGAATTTCGACACAGCCTTGGAAATACTTCGCAAGGGGAAGCCAGGTACAGGCTGCAAATATTCGCAGAGGTGCTGGTCGATCCACCTCACCGAGGCCACCAACCACCCCTGCCAAGCTATCCCCACGTACGGCATATGGCAACGGGCTCATTGCCAAGCGCGCCGATGGCGAATCATGCCTTCTAGCTACGGAACATGTCGACGATATCAAAGTGACTGCCCCCCCCCGTGGACAAGACAAAACTACGTCGATGTTTGGAGGGTACGCATGCTTTCGCACGTTGTGGGGCGCGACGCTCTCCCACAAGTGACGGAGGATATGAACTATATCGGGCGGACTACATCCATGCTCTGAAGCCCAGTGGCAGTCCTGAGCTTGTTTGCGAGGCCAGCTCTGAGCTCGCCTCCGAAGGCCTGGCCAAGCTATGCCTCAGCCTGCATAAGACCCAAGCCTTCACGCTCATCACGCATCTGCTTGCGCGTCTACGCGGCCGCGTCATAGCGCCACGCCGCGGCGCCCACGCGAGGCCACATGCGAAAGTTCAACGCGCTGGTAAGATGCGCTCGAGATACACCGCGGATGATGCACCGCCCTCCCATGCGATGCGCGGCCAAGTTGCAATGTCAAATCGATGCAGTCTGTCGAAAGGAACAGAGGGAGGGTGCCGATGCATGGCGAGCCCTTCGCGGAGCTACCTCCCTCCGCAAGGGCCGCGCGGACGCATCTGGACAGAGCCCCTTCGCTGGCGGATGGCCGCGCCACCTGCGCTAATGGCAGTGCGGGGCGCTCACGGCGGCGACGCGAAGCGCCTTCGCAAGCGAGCTGACGGCTGCGGTCAGTTTCATGGATCACGGCCCGGCCGTGGCCACCGCGCACCACGAGGTGCTCGAGTGCCCGCGCGGACCCGGCGCCGCGCGGCGCCGGCGTGATGGGCGGCTGCTCTCGACATTACAAATCGACTTCTGTTTGGGTTCAATGGGCGCAATCGCCGCCGTGACCGCGACCCGGCCCAAGCCGCCAGCAGAGCACTCACTCTTACCGCGCGCCTTATGGCTACGTGATTTCGTGCTCGGGCCAGCTCTGGGCCCTGAGCTGGGGCCCGCGACGCGGCACCTGACATACCGACCAAGGGCGCCGTGGACCGCGCTGCCCTCCGCGACGTGGCTGGCGAGCGTCGCCAGCGAGACTGCGCGCCGTGCGCTGTCGCGCTCAACTCGGCAGGAAAGCTCATTGCGTTCTCGAGCCAGGAGCGCCAGCCGACTGCGCGTGACGACGAAAAGTAGCCTGTGCGACTGCCGTGTCGTTGTTCGCCGCGATCAAAGGTTCTGCCTCTTCCTCATCTCTGATTTTGAAGACATCGCATCCACAGCGCTTAGTGGTCAGGGCAGACACGACTACACACTTTCCCCACGATGTCTTGGAACTGGACAGATATGTGCATAGCAGTGCATGACAGGCATCAGGCTCAGAGACATCGATCGCCGTTGGAAGTGTGAGCGCATGAGTTGTGGAGCGTCGTTGTGTATGCGCACGTGTAACATCCGTTGGTGTCGCGGCCGTTTCTTCTGATGATCAGCGTGAGGTTCGCGCGCCGGCAGTCGCTGGCGCGCGGAGCCCCCCCGCGCGAGGCCCGCGCGAGACCCGCGCCGGCCCCGATGCCGCAGGTCTCGAGCTCCCCGACGGAGATCCCGTCATCGGAAGAGCAGGCGACCATTCAATCACTGAGGTCCGGCAAGGCGTCGGCAGCAGCTGGCGCCCTCGAGGGCCCACCAACGGGGGCACGGGGGCTGCGCCCACGCGCTGACGGCCTTCACCAGCACTATCGCAGCCAAGCAGCTCGCGATCGGTCTTGCAGTCAGCCGCGCTCGCAGCCACGCCCACGCCGCCAGCGCCGCCAGACTGCGATGGCTTCGCTGCCCCCACGTCCGCCAGCGAGCCCAGCGCGACCCCGCGCGCCGCAGGCTGGCGGCGCCTGCAGGATAGGGCCGGTCAGCAAGAGGCAGCCCGGCCGCCGCCGGAGGTGTCCAGGACGGTCTGCCAGCGCCGCTCTCGCCGGATTCGGCCGGGAACGAGCGCGTCTCGAGCCTCATCCACGCGCGGCACCCTTCGGGCCCGATTCCGAAGATCTCGAGGTGGCGCTCGAGGTGACAGAGCCCGTGGGGCGCGCGGCCTATTCGTGCGAGTTTGGTCTGTCGCGAGGTCTGCTCTCAGGCTTGACATCGTCGCCAGCCAGGCCAACGCTCCACGGCGAACCGATCCCGATGCGCGCGGTGATGTTGTGCCGCAAGTTGTGCCATCACAAGAAGCACACCTGGGACGCGGGTGCGCGCCAGGCGCGCGGGCCCCACTGGCAGCTCCTCGGAGACGGAGAATGGTCAGTGCGCGGCCCGGACCCGCTGGTGGAGTCCGATCGGCCAGACGACCCGGGCGCTGGCGCTGCACCGGCCGCCTAGGTCGGGTCCGCGCGCCCGCCTTCGAGGAGCCCTTCGCGCTAGGACGCGCGGCCACCATGGCCAGGGCCCGGTCCGCCAGGCTGGGCGCCGTCGCTCTGTCGCAGCACTTGGCCATGCGACGCCGGTGGGGCCCCTCGGGCACGCCGGCGTCGTGGGCAAGGGCGGGGCAAGAGCAAGACCGAAGACGACAACAAAGGCGACAAGGGGGCTGCAGCGGCGGGCGCCAAGCCCAAGAAGGCACGGCGAGGAGGGAAGGAGGCCATGCGCCGCCGCGGGCAGCAGCCCCGCGCCGAGGAGCCCAGCGCGGCCGCCACAGGCGAGGAGCCGGCAGCCGAGCAGGAGGACAGCTCGGCATGGACGAGCGAGGCGGCAGTGCAAGCAAAAGAAAAAGATCTTCGCGCGCCCCTCGTCCCTCCTTGCTTCCATATCCACGCCAGTTGGCCGAGGCTGCTCCACTCCCTCTCTTCGCCCAACGCTGCTCCGACCAACTCTCGTGCATTGCACTTTGCAGTAGGCCTTCGGACTGTCAGTCCGCAGCTCGGGGTCGACAGACACAGTCACGGCGCTGGGTGAGCACGCCCCGCGCACTCGCGTGAGCGGTGCCCAGCGCTGTTTGTAAGGGCGCGGGCGAGCTCCCGAGCATAGTCGGTGAACCCGCCAGCCATCCCACGCCGACGCCTTCTGGCCAGATGGCGGCGGTGGATCCTTGAAGGATTGGGTCTGCACGCGGGGGTTAGGACGGCTCTGGCTTTCCCTTTCTCATTTGCTTGCTCCGCAAAAGCTGCTCGATCCCCCGTGCAATCTCGACTCAAACAGGATGTGCCACTTTGGCCTCTTCGCCGGCGCGAGCCGCATGCTTTAGAGAAGCACGAAGCCGATCCTATTACATCACCTTCGGCTTCTGATTGCCACCGGCCCCCACAATTATAGTTCCGCCTCCTCCTCCGCCTCCTCCTCTTCCTCCTCCTCCTCCTTGCCAGACGCTGTGCCTCCTCCTCCTTTTCCGCCTCCTCCTCCTCCTCCTCCTCCTCCTCCTCCTCCTCCTCCTCCTCCTCCCCCTCCTCCTCCTCCCCCTCCTCCTCCCCCTCCTCCTGCTCCCCCTCCTCCGCGGCGGGGCAGAGCCGCCCGCCCTGCCATCTCCACGGCGGCCACAGCTGAGACCGGCAGCTCCGGGCGTGGGAGCCCCGAGGTCACGGCGCTGCTCCTCCACGACCTGGACGACGGCCTGGGGCTGCCGTGGGCGTGCGTGTCGGAGGCGATCACCAAGTGCAGGGCCCTCGGGGCCGAGGCGGCCCCTGCGCCCCCCGCCCCCCGCAGAAGAAGGAATCCGGACGTCGACCCCGTCCCTCCCCCCCCCTCTTCCATTCCTCGAGGTAAACATAAACTTTTGGCGTTCCGCGTGGATTTCCTGGATCCGCGCTGGGACCCCCCCCTGGCGGCGCCTCCGGCGCCGCCCATGGCGCGCTCCGCGCGCCAGGGAGGGGGGGGGTCCAGCACAGATGCAAGAAAGCCGCGTGGAGCGTCAACAGCTTATGCTTATGCCGGTTTTATTATTCGTATTATTATTATTAATTAATTATCATTATTATTATTAGTATTATCATTATTAGTCTTATTATTATTGTTATCATTATTAGTATTAGTATTATTATTATCATCATTATTATTATTATTATTATTAATATCATTATTATTAATATTATTATTACTAGTATTATTATTATTATCATTAGTATTCTTAGTAATATTAGTATTAGTATTAGTATTAGTATTAGTATTAGTATTAGTATTAGTATTAGTATTAGTATTAGTATTATTATTAGTATTCGTATTAGTATTAGTACTAGTAATCGTATTCTTATTATTATTAATATTAATATTATTATTTATTTTCTATTAGCATTATTATTTTATTTATGATTATTATGATTATTATTCTTGTTACTAGTAGTAGTAGTATTGTTATTATTATCATCATTCGTATTATCATTATTACTACTACTATTAGTATTATTATTAGTATTTTTATTATTAGTATTATCATTATTCTTCTTCTTATGTTTCTTCTTCTTCTTCTATGTTTCCCCCGCGAGGTTCGATCGCTCGAGGAGATCGGGGCTCTCTTGGGCCTCCTCTGGGCCTCTGGGGGCCCCCCTCGCCGCCACGGCCAGGCCGTGCTCCCAAAGCCGACGTCCCTGTCCGGACGTCGACCTAGCTTTAGGTCGGGCATGCCCCCCTACAGGGGGGTTTTGGGCGAAGAATCAGAAATACTCAAAACAGATTCCAAAGATGATCAAAAATATTCAAAAAAATTGTCTCCACACTATTTTTTGATGATTTTGGAAGATTCCCCCTGAAGAGGGACAGTCCCGACTCAAACCTGGCCCCCCCTTCCTGCGAATTTCGAGGTCTTGATGCAATTGTGGTTCTCGTGGGCCTCGCATGGGGCTCGGGAGCCCCCCCTCGCCGCCACGGCCGGGCCCATGCTCCTGAAGCCGAATACCCGGGTCAACGCGCAGTTGGACAACGGCGGCTGGATCTCAACGGGATCTCACGTACCCCAACACAATATTTGTAAAGGCAGCTGTTGGAAACAGGGTGTGTGTATGTATGTATGTATGTATGTATGTATGTATGTATGTATGCATATATATATATATATATATATATATATATATCGAGAACGCCGGCGGCGCATCACCGGCCGCTCCCTGGGAGTTCGAGATTGGAGGCAGTTCTGAAGCCTCTTCGGCTCGTCTTAGGGGCCGTCAGGGGGCCTCTCGGGGCTTCTTTGGGGCCTCTTTTGGGCTTATTGGGGGCTTCTTGGGGCCCATCGAATGTTTCTTGGGAGCCTGCTGGCGGGGTCGGAGGTCTCGTTGTGGCGGCAAGCTCGAGGTGTCCTTTCGATTTCCGCCTCTTGGGGCTCTCTTGCGGCACTCTTGGGCCGTATTGGGCTTCTTGGGTCGTCTTGGGGTGCCCGTGGGCTGTATGTGGGCTCACTGCGGGGCTTTGGGGGCCATCTTGGGGTGACCGCGGGGGCCTCCTGGTGGTGCTTGGAGTGGAAGGCTCGAGCTTTCCGTTCGTGGCCCCACTCCGGGCCCCCTCTTGGGCTCTTCTTGGGGCCCTCTTAGGCCGTCTTGGGCGCCTCTTGGGCCGTCTTGGGGCTCTCTTGGGCTGTCTTGAGGCCCTCTTGGAGGCTTCTTGGGCTGTTTTGGGGCGGTCGTGGAGGCCTCTCGGGCCGTCTTGGAGCGTCGGAAAACCTAAAAAGTGAAATTGTGAAACATGTACGTTTTACGAAGGGAATGGGGCAATGTTTGCGTCTGGGGACCGTCTTGGGACGCATCTTGGAGGCCTCTTGGGGCGCCTCAGGGGCGTCTTGGGACGTCTGGAGGCCATCTGGAGCGTCTTGGAACGATCTGGAGCGGTCTGGATGCTCTCTAGGGCCGTCGTGGGGCTCTCGTGGGCCGTCTTGCGGCGCTCGTGGGTCGCCCACGGGCGTTTGTAGGGTCGTCTTGGGGCCCTTGTATGTATGTATATATATATATATCTCTCTCTCTCTCTCTCTCTCTCTCTCTCTTTCTCTCCGTAAGGGCTTCGCCCCCTGCCGCCGGCCCCCTTCCTATCAGAATGGGCTATGTCAGAGCTATGCTGGAATTCCTTTGCGCCGTTGCGAAACAATGTCGGAACCTCTTGCGAGGGCGATTGGTAAGCGGCAGACTCAGGTTCAGAACGTATTGCTGAAGTCCGTATTGTTATTCTCGAGTTCCCTTTCGTGCCATTTATTGGAGCAGTGATTCGGGGCTGCTTGAGGCTACGTTGGGCAACACCGCGTGGCTTTGGCTGCCCTCTTGGAATGCCTCTTGGAAGCCTGTTGGGGCGGCTTGGCAGCCACTTGGAGCCCTATTTCGCCCTCGCGTGGCTGAAAGCTCAAATCTTTGGTTCGTGGTCTGTGGACCTCTCTAGGTGCCATCTTCAGGAGTTTTTGGGCCGTCTTGGGTGCCTCCTGAGCTGTCCTGGTGCCCTCTGGGGCCGTATTGGGGCTCTCCTGGAGGCTTCTTGGGCCGTCTTGGGGCGGTCTTGGCCTCGACGGCGCGAATACCGTATAATTTACTACAGATCATTGCCTCGAAGGCGAGAATCTGCGGTAATGCACGAGGGATCGCAGCCTCGAAGGCGAGACTGCGGTGTAAGTACGAAGGTTTATGACCCCGGGGACGCGAATATAAGATAATGTTCGAACGTGTATGGTTTCGGGGGCGCGAACATTGTGTAATTTACACGGACGTATGGCTTCGGGGACGCGAATATTGTATAATTTACGCGGGTTTATGGCCTCGAGGACGCAACCATGGTGTACTTTACGAAGTTGTATGGCTTCGGGCACGCGAACATTTAGTAAGTTTCAAGGGTTTATGGGTTCGAGGGCGCGAAAATTGTATAGTTTGCGAGGTTGTATGGCCTCGGGGACGCGAGCATTGTATATTTTGCAAGGGTTTATGGCGTCGGATACGCGAGCACCGTGTCATTTACGAGGGTTTATGGATTCAGGGACGCGAGCATTCAGTAATTTACATAGGTTTACAGTATCGGGGACGCGAATATTGTATAAGTTGCGAGGGTGTGTGGTTTCGGGGACGCGAACCTTGTATAATGTTCGAAGGTTTGTGTGGTTTTGGGGGCGCGAATATTGCGTCGGTTTGATGGCTTCAGGGTCGCGAGTATAGTATAATGTACGAGGGTTTATGGCCTCGAGGACGCAATTATTGTGTACTTTACAAGGTTGTATGGCTTCGTGGACGCGAATATTTAATACTTTGCACAAGGTTTACGGGTTCGAGGGCGCGACTATTGCGTAGTTTACGGGGTTGTATAGCCTCGGGGACGCGAACATGGTATAATTTACGAGGGTTTATGGTTTCGGATACGCGATCACCGTGTAATTCACGAGGGTTTATGGATTCAGGGGACGCGAGCATTCCGTAATTTACGTGGGTTTATGGTTTCGGGGGCGCGAGCATGGTTGAATGTATTAACGCTTATAGCCTCGAGGATGCGAACATGGCATGATGTACGAAGGTTTCTGGTTTCGGGGGCGCGACTATTGCTTAATTTACGAGGGTGTCTGGCTTCAGGTGCGCGAATCTTATATGTATGTATATATAATATATATATATATATATATATATATATGTATATATATATATATATATATATATATGTACGTGTCCCACGGCTCCCCGGGAAGTCTGCGAACCCGAGAGAAGCGTGGTGAATTGGAGCTTTTCGGCTCCCCCCCCTCGCGCGTTCAGTAACAATTAACAGTGGGAAGCAGAAAGTAAAGCCATCACATTGGAAACTGGAAATTGCAACTGGTGCAGGGAGCAGCAAACCTTCGCCCTACAGCCTGGTGGCCCCACAAGGGGGCTGGCGGATTCACATACAGATGCATATTCTTCGATCTTCCTCCTCCTCCTCCACCTCCATTTCCTCCTCCTCCTCCTCCTTCTCCTCCTCCTCCTCCCCCCCTCCTCCATACCTTATGTCCTTATAAATAACTCCTCCATGTCGCACCCCGATGCGTGTCTGTAGGGCGGGTGGGGCGTTTCGCCTGAGACTTCTTCACCACTTACGACGCTTACGTTGAACATTCGCAAGAGCTTCACGGATGGAGGGCGGTCTGTTTTCAAAATGTGGTTCTCGTCTTAGCGCCGCGCGCGTTCGTTTTGAGAAGATGCAAGACTTTCACGGATGGAAGGCGGTCCGTTTCAAAAATGTTGGTCTCGCCGTAGCGCCGCACACATTCGTTCTGACAAGTGGCAAGAGCTTCACGGATGGATTGAGGCTCTTCTTCTTGGAAATGGCGTGGGCCCAGGGTTCTTTTTTAGTTGGTTTACCTCCGGTTTCGACGGTTGTAGGGCCGGCTGAATTATCTTGTTATAAATTACAAGGTCGTTTAGGGCCGGCGGAATTATATGTGAGGATGTCTCGAGCGAAACGCTTGTTTTTCAGAATTTGTTGAGGATGTCTCGAGCGAAACGCTTGTTTTGTGTTATAGATTGTCTTCTCCTGGGGGCCAGAATTCAGAGAATCTCTCAAGTGAAATGCTTGTTTTCACGTCTCCAGGTCTTGAGGATGTCTCGAGCGAAACGCTTGTTTTTCAGAATTTGTTGAGGATGTCTCGAGCGAAAC